AATATTACATATAATTGTATAGAGAATTTCACTGGTACCTATTGTAGTAAGCAGTACCCAGAAATGTACTTGAGAAATTTATTCTGACATAAATTTTGAAGTTAAAAAGAGGTTATAATTATATAGTGAAACATAAATATTTTCTTGTAAGGAAAATAAAAGCATAATTTTTCATGAGTTCAATGAGTAAAAATAATTTCATGAAAAATAGAAAAAGATGGCTTGTTTATCTCAAAGGAAACACAACATTTAACATTTACAGAGAAAGTCATGCTGTTTGAGAGTACATATAGTATTTTTAGAGATTGGAATGACATAGTGGGTGAGTTTACAGTGGGTTTGAGTAATTTCTGCAGTGTAAAAATATGAAACCTAATTCAATATACATATGTTCACTCATGATCTTTCAGTCCCCTAATGCTAAATGGCAAATATATTTTAATTAAAGCAGAATCTGACATAAATCCATGTTCTATAACTTGGGCATTAGCCTGTAATTCCACTCAGAATATTAATTATTTTATTAATAAATAAATGTCTAAAATTGTAGTTTAGTTTATACCAGTAGATGCTAGCTCAAGCTTATACTGATTTCCTTCCTTAACTGATTTGATTTCATAACAGAGATCCCTTCCTTCTATATCCACACATGAAAATAGCTTAACATAGCACCACTGTTGAGAGAGTAAGTGACAAATTGGAGTGGTTCTGAACTGAAATTTATTATTGATTGTGAATTCTAAGTGAATTCTCAAATTTTATATTTAAAAATTACATATCCAAGATATTATTTATTTCATCTAAATTATTTGATCAAAACATTTCTGATGCAAGTATTTGAGATTTTAGTGGTAAGGGCTCATTTTCATTCTTATTTCATTTTCTATATCAAACTCATGATACAATATATTCCTTTTAAAAAGGCACATGAGGTAGTTAAGAGTATTTGAGAATTGGTTTTAATTTCCATAGGAGTCCTGAATTCAAACAGGAACATTGGTAGTATTGAGCTAGTGTGGCAAGATTCAGCTCATCTAAAAGGCATATATAATCTGTAAATTCCTAAAAGAGAGATAATGTGTTTTACAAATAACTTTCATCTTGTTTCTGGAAACTTGGGAATTCCTTAAACTTCAGTTTTTCAGGAAAAAATGTCCTTAAAGGAGAAAAATATTTCATACATCTTCATTTCTCTCTCCACATGTACAGGTAGATATTTATCAGAATATAGTCACTTTATATTTCTTGCTGTATTTTCTTTAACACTGCTACACTAATCCCTTAAGATTTTGCCTCTAATCCATACCTGAGAAATACTCACCTCTGTCCTTGGGAAGTCATCATTGATTAAAACAAACAGCAACCTTGTAATGTCTCTCTGTAGAATCATTACAGCAACTGTGTGAGGATTAAATAAGATGACAATAATAATTTAAGTATCATGTGTAGCTGCCTTAAAATAGTTATATCTAGCTCTTCCATCTAATTAAGGTTTGGAAAGAATCCTACCTTCCATTAATACTTACTGTGCACTTGCACTAAAAAAGAGATTAATTTAAACAGCAGTGAAATTTCTAAAAACATTCTGTGGAGAAATGCATGCACAAACTATATTAATTGAGCTCTAAATTAGTGATGCTAAACAACAAAAGCAAGGAAATGCACTGTGAAGCAGGAAATGTACCATATGTTATTGTATACCTGGGCACAATGGGGACGCTATCTTAATGGCTCTCTTAATGTTTCTGTTGTACCAGATATTGGTGGACATATGGTATGCTGCCTTTTTATGTGTTTGTGTCTTTCCACGATTTTGTTAGCTGACTTTGATAGCATTTTCTATTTATCTTCTATTAGGAAAAGGGCTTTAAAATATTTTGCTCATTTATCTGGACTTTGAAACCCATGCACTTTATTTTGTTTATTAATTTATGCTCCATTTTAAAATTTTCTTCAAGAGCAGTTGCTTATTACTTTTATTTTTAAGCTTTCCATAGTCTTAGTCCCTCTCAGGCTGTAATTTAGAGTACAGCTGAGTAGCCCTTCCACATGCAGATGGGTTTTGACTCACTGTCAGTGCTGGCCAAACAGATGGCTAAAGCAATAGCAACAGCTGCAGAGCTCACCAGGCTCTGCACAACCAGGATGGTACAACCATGGAATCATAGAATTATAGAATCCTTTAGGTTGGAAAAGACCTCCAAGATCATTAGGTTCGCCAGTTAACCCAGCGCCACTAAACCATGTCCCTAAGCATCATATGTACACATCTTTTGAATACCTCCAGGGATGATGACATAACCACATCCCTGGGCAGCTGGTTTCAGTGCTTGACAGCCCTCTGAGTGAAGAAAATTCTTCCTGTATCCTGGCCCCAAGGAACCTCAACCAGCTCTAGCTGGCAGCAAAGTTTCCCGTTTCACTTGGCTCCTAGTACCCTTACAGATGAGGAACAAAATAGAACAACTTCTTGCAACATCATTTCCTGGATACCACGTGCTCTCACATGGTTGGCAGATGCAGAATACCAAAGGGAAAGGTTTCCTTAATTTTTTATGGCCCAGTCTTCATAAATGTTCACTTTTAAATAGGTTGTTCATTGCTTCTATCACATGGAATACACACATCGAAGTTACAGAAGTAAGCAGAAGAAATATATCATGTAGTAGAGAAGAACAACTGGGCCAAATCCTTTTGACAAACATGTGCCTTACTCCAGTTATACACTGGCAAAAAGTTCTCTCCATTAAAGCAGTGGTCGCAGGGCTTCTTACTGGAGGTGTTTGAAGACTGTTTAAACCAGTGTGGAAATAGAAGGACATTGTTGTACATAGGCTGGTCAATAGACACTCTTTAAAGACATTACATATCAGGGCTAGTCTTTTAAATAAGATTTAGTAATTTCTGGCAAGTGTGAGTACTTTTGTCCAAACAGTCAAAGCTTACCGTTCTAATATTCATACAGCAGTTTTGGTAGCAACTCATTATATGTGTAGCTGCATCAGTTTAAATATGAAATAGAAGGCATAATGAAAGTCTTCTAGTATTTTACAGATGTCAATAACCTTACATGATATCTAGCAATGCCAGACTAATTCTTTCTGAAATGTTTAAACAAGAAATATTAAAAAACCAAATTATTTTATTTGTCCTGAAAATTTACCATGTGTATTCCCAGGAAATCAAGAATTTAAGTCCATAGCCATCAGTTACACCTAATATTTTTTCATATATTTTAGTCTATTTTCTTTAAATTTAATTTAAAACTTTTTCAGTTGTTAGTTTTAGTAATTCTATTTTTAGTTTATATTAATATATCTTTGATTAGAAAATGAATGGGAAGGATAGAATTATGAGTAATTTTGCACAAGTTTTTTAATAAGGAGTTGTTCATAGAACTTACCTAGATTTTTTTATAAGGCAAAGTCATTATTGGAAATCATTAAATTAAGGTAATTCAAAAGGAAACTGCCATCTCTTTCAAAAGGATTCCAGTAAAATTCAGTAACAGCAACCAAGCTGCTGCATAGCCTAGTCTTGTGTACACAGCAGGGTGAAGAACTTGCCAGCTTATTGATTCTTACTGATGTAGGGCTTGGCAATCAGTCTGTATCTGGAATAATTAGTGGGGATGTTAATCAGAAGGCAGGAGCATCATGGGGTCCCTGACGCTATAAACAATTACACTGCTCTGCTAGCTCAAAGGCTTTTACACTTTGGCAGCTTAAATGCTTTTGACAAGTGACGCTGTTTTTTTCTAAGAACATTGTTGTTTTACGAATAGTAGGCAGGTTAGAATAGATGTGTGTGCACACTGGCATAACTTAACTGCCCACCTTGCCAGGGAATGGATTAACAAGTGGATTACAATTGCAAAGAAGTAACTGGGTTCCATGACTGTGGTACAAAGTCTCTACATTTTGATAGAGTTTCAGGTTCCTTGACGTTTTATTGACTTTGTTCACAAGACTATTGGGGTCTCAGAATCAGGAGTAAACCAATGTGTTTGCGAATTCCCTTTCCTGAAAACCTATTCTGGACACACAAAGAGGACAGGAAGCACAGTAATTGCACCATGGCTTTTGGTAGGATTTGAATGAAAGTGCAAAGATGATATGAATGGAATTGGAGATGTATGTCCCTAAGCTTAAAGCATAATAAATTAATCACGGATGAGATGAAAACAAGTAACATACAGACACAGTATAGATCTGACATGATTTCCTAACTCTTACATATAGTCTTCTTGAGTCAGTTTGTAGTGTAGCTACTTTGGGAGCACTTTAAGATCCTAAATTTTGATAAATCTCTGTTGTTCTGTGCAAGTCTGTTCACTTTGCTCTGTGTTCTCCGGAGTGTAATAGCCAGTTTCTGGCATGCCGGTTGAGTGGATGTTCTTGATCTGCTGCACATTGTTTTTAGGAATGTGATTTATCAACTCAAAAATTATAAAAACATATATACTTTTAGCATAGTCATGGTTCAATGGCAATATTTATAGTGCTTTTAGTATCTGCTTATTGTTATTAATTTTATATGAAGGTGTTATGCCAAACTAGTGGCTAGAATTCTGTCAAATGAGGAGTTTGAGACCTCTTTTGACCTTTTAAACTGTTCCCCACTTTCCCTTCTTGCCATAAAAAGACTCTTGTGTTGAAACTATGTACTTTAAATGGATCTTGAATAGCAGTAGGACTGAAGTTCCGAACTGCCAATCAGTAAATAATGGTTCCTAGTCATCAAAAGTGTAGCTTGCTTCTTACTGTAAAAGACAATTCCAAGTAATTGCTCTGAAACCTTACACTTTTTCATTTCTTATTAAGGAATCAGCTGAAAAAGTATCCAACGTGTACAATACAGAATTATTTTTTCATCTAAATTCTAATGTCCCCTATTGAAATCTTTTTTCTTAGAAGAAATTCGATCTGCAAATATTTAAACTTGAACTGACTTTTCTGTTTCATGTTGTGTTCACACTTTTTTTTAAAATTCCATTTCAGGGTAAAGAGGTGGAAGAAAGTGAACACGGGATTTGGGACCAGACAAAGTTCCTTGTTTGTTGTTGGAGATTCTACCACGACAGTGAGTGAAGATATGGGAGATCACCAAAAAGCCCTGCAGCAACAAGGCTAACAGCAAAGAGGAGAAGCAAACATTGTTCATAAAAACACACTAGAAAATTTCATTGAAGGTCATGTCAGATAGACACAGGAATACTGTATGCATTGTTTCTGTGTATTCCTGATTTTTATAAGAACCAAGGAAAATATGTTAGAGTCAGGGTGCACCTATTTAGAAGTTATGTTGGCTATTGTCATTCCTTTCCAGTTGTTCTAAATGTTCTCTTCTAAAGCAAAAGGTGGACTTTAATTAAATTGTCCCATATTTTACCTTGGGAAAAAGGACTTTAGAATGTGCATGGTATATGACTGAGGTTCACACTCTGCCCTGGGAAAGTATTGAATCTGAAATGGAAGTCAGTGGTTTGTTTCTTGTTTTGCTGGTGTGTTTTATTTTCAGTAAAGTTCAGTAAAAGCGGTGAAAAAAATATCTGTATCACAGGACCCCCTGTTCTACCAGGGTGACAGGTGTATTACATTTTCTTTCATTAAAAAAAAAAAAAGATGAAGAATTTTTTTTTAAAAAAAAACCAAATAGTATCACATACACATTTAGATCAAAGAAATATCCTTTCCTTATGTGCTTCTTATACTCATCATATAATTAAAATAATGTATCTCACATTTACCTTATTGTCTACATATCAAATTTTTATTTAAATTTTACTTTACTAATTGTCTAGGTAAAAAATTGCAAATGTCATGTCGGAAATAAATATGTTAAGATAAACTGGAAAAGGAGATTTTGAGAACTTTAGAAAATTCACGACTTATAAAAATGTCAGTAACTTTCAGCCATCAAGTGAGATATAAATTATAATTTTGTTTGCCATGTGCAATTGATAATGAGTATGTGCAGATTCTGTTTCAAAAGGATTGCTGTAATTGCTCAGCAATGTTTGTTTCATTCCTTATAACCCTATAAATTGAACACTTACCTGAGGGCTCCAGTTGTATTTAAATCTATGTCCTTTCTAAGACAGAATTGTGAGATCTCTTGATTTCTTTTGCAACCTAGGACCATAAAAAAAGTGAAAAGTATAAAAGATTATTGATTACATTGGAATCACATTTTTCCCAGGAATTGTCTGAGCTGAAGACACTTGGAAGCTGGGAACAAAATGTTCTTCTGACCCTCTCTGAGCTTTGGGCTGCTGCTGGACATGGGGTGCTAGAGCAGAAGTATCTGTGCTTTGCCTACCTTTATACATTCTTAACCCTCTTTCGTGTTTGTAATGTTGAACTAATCCCAGACATTACCCCTCAGGACACACTAAGGGATTTACAGTGAGGGAATTTTGTCTTTGTTGCCAATAGATGATTCACAAATTCATCAACAAGGTACAGAGATACTGTGAGAGAATTTATTTTTAAATGGAGTTTCAACATGTAAAACTTATAATAATTGACAATAAGAATCATAATTCTTTTCTCCGTAATTCAAACTTCTTCCCTTTATTAGCTCACTGGTTCAAGGTTTTGTATTAGACAAAAGATCTCTGGTCTTGTTCCATGTGTAATGACACACTGACTTTGTCTAAAACTCTGCTTTTCTTATGCCAGCGTCTTCAAGACGCCACAGTGTGTGAAATGGCTGCATTGAAAATGTTGATGTGCACAATAGAAATGGAAAGTGCATAATCATTGATTTTCAAGTGCTGTAACAGCCAAATGTACTTCTATGGTTACACTGAAGCACTTGAAAATTTGGCAACACAACAGCTTACTGATAAAAGCTTGTATCATTCAGATAAGCTTTAGAGATAAAATCTTTCTCCTTTTTTTCCCTCTGACAAGCCAAAATGGTTGCAAATATAGTTCTTTTAGAGATAAAGCATGGTTTCAGCACTGGCCAAAATACCTATAAGATCCAGAGTATCTTTTCAGACCACACTAATAACTGTGGCTAAAAATCAAGTCAAATGATATTAAGAATTACTGGGGAAATTGGGATTCTGTCTTTCTTGTCTCTATTTCCAAATCTGTAGGAAAAACAAATAACATTTAATTGGTGCTGGAGAACATTTCTGTGCTAACTGCTTGGTAGTGTAACATGGATACTGAGGGAAATCAAATCAGAAGCTAGTTTCTGCTGCTCTAACTCTACTACAAACCGTTTCACATGTGACCACTGTATTATACTACCTAGCAGGTGGGATGCACCTGGCTGGTCTAAAAGTCATGGTGACAATAAAATGTCATGATGCTAGTTTTAAAATTTATATTTCAGAATGTCAGTACAGTATCCTTTCTCATGAGGAAATTTTAGTTTCTTTTGGGGTAGTTAATACCGACATTTTTCCCACACATATCTTTCTGATCACTTATTGATCATATTTTACCTTCAGGCACCTTCTGAACAGCAATTTTAAAGTTTTCTTTCTTGCCTCTTATAGATCACACATAATGCCTTAAATTTTCATAATTTCTCCCTTTTCCCTGAGACAGAGAAAACTCAGCTACTTCCATTATCTAAATAAAATATTTATTTCATCTTTACATACACAGAGAACTTCAGAGGCCTCTCTGAAGAAGTAAGCCCATAAATTAGTCACTTGAAAATGAGTCAAAATAAGATGATGCATCATTACCCTGGCTGCAGTTGAGAATGTTTGAGAATGCTAATTTACAACCTTTGCATAATAATACTGGAATGTTTCCTGATCTTAAATATTCACCTATGATATTTGCTATATGCCAAGGTTTCCACTTATTCCTCTTCACAATTTATATGTGGGAAGTGAAGATACGCAGATTTGTGCAGAAATGATTTTCTCAAAGTCACCAAGCGTAACTATGGGAAAGCCAAGAAAATGAACCTTAAATCTGGTTGCAAACAATTGAGCTGGATTTCTTTATCTTTTGAGGTGAGTGGTACCTAAAACAGTGGTTTGCCACTAGAAAAAATAGTCTTTCCTATTTTCCTTTTTAAGATAATAAATAGCATGAACCTTTTATGTGGATCAATTTTACAAACTGGTTGTAAACACAATGATAGAAAGACATGAAAATAATTTTCACAATGCTCAATTAAACCTTGTTTAATACTATAAATGTGCATTATTTAATATTGTTACGTGTGCAGAAGGATAGGAAAGAATGATTTACATGGTGTTTTGGTCCTGTCCTAGTTGACATGGAAACAGTGGGGAGTGCTGTGTTTGGAATAAAATAAACTAAAATAGCTCAACTGGAAGAGACCTACAATGACCATCTACTCCAACTGCCTGACCACTTCAGAGCTGACCAAAAGCTAAAGCATGTCATCAAGGGTATTTTCTAAATGCTTCTTAAACACTGACAGTCTCAAGGCATTGATCACCTCTCTAGGAAGTCTGTTCCAGTGTTTCACCACACTGCCAGTTTAAGAAATGCTTCCCAATATCCAGTCTAAACCTCCCTTGGCACAGCTTTGAATCACTGTTATGCATGCTGTCACAGAACACTGGGAAGAAGGGTTCAGCACTTTCCTCTCCACTTTTCCTCCTCAGGAAGCTGCAGAGAACAATGAGGCTGCCCCTCAACCTCTTTTTCTCCAAACTAGACAAACCTCAAATCCCTAGTTGCTCCTCCAAGGACATTCCCTCCAGCCTTTTCACCTGTTTTTTCATCCTTCTCTGGATTCATTCAAGGACGTTTATATGAACAGAGGAGGACAATCTCTTCATTTGACTGGCTGATTACACTGTTTCAGGCATCCCAGGATGGGATTTGGCCTCAGGACTTCCAGGGCACTCTGCTGACTCACACTGAGCCTGCTGCAGACCAGCACCTCCAGCTTCCTTTCTTCAAGACTGCTCTCCAGTAATTCCTCTCCCAGTTTATTACTGTCCCCAAAATTATTCCAACCTAGGAGCAGAAAATATGGTTTTTGTTCTTTTTAAATTTCACCCTATTAATCATTACCTAATGTTCCAATCTATCCCTCGACAAGGTATCCTATGCCTCAAAAGAGTCAACAGCAGCTCCCAGCTTGGTATCTTTAGCAAACCTGCTAATAGTGTATTCAGCTCCTGCATCCAGAGAGTTACTAAATATATTGATGTATTATTGATAAATATATTGAACAGAACTGGCCCTAAAATTGAACCCTGAGGAACACTACTGATGGTCAGTTGCCAGACAGATGTAGCCTCATTCAGTACAACCCTTTAAGTCCTTCACCCAGCAGACCCTAAAAACACTCATCCCACAGTTGGACAACCCATCCAGAAGGATACTGTGAGGCACAGTATCAACAAATACTTAGTAAAACCGAGAAAAACTACTTCTACCACCTTCCCTCCACACACAGGCAGACAGCTTTATTGTAGGAAGCTATCAAATTAGTTGCACAGGACTTTCTCCCTCTAGAGTACGTTGAAACACATTTCAAGATACATGCCAAAATAGTGTGCACTTACTCCACTGTTTATTTGATTAACAGTAGAGGATAACTTGGGTGGGCCTGTGACCAGTCCAGAGCTATTTCTTCATTAGGGTGGGAGCTATCAGGGTTTCATTAAGAACTGGTGACTTTTTCCTGCTGAAATCTCTACCCTTGTATTACCCAATCCACCTGTCTCCATGCCTTTTGCAGTTGAAAGTTTTTCTCAGAATAACCTATTTTCCCCACTTTAAAGGGAAATAAACCTTAAATGCTGTATTTGAAATATCCCAGTAAGCAATTATTTCTCAGAAACCATGAAGATACTTGGATACCTTTTGCCATTACAGACCTTTTATCACATGACTTCAGGAAGAAGACAAGGAATTTTAATCAATTGAAATAAAACATGTCTATTCATAATTTTGTACATTCTAAATCAAAATCACCTAAAGTCCAACACCAATTTCAAAGGCTATTCTAAATGTATTCAACAAATATAACTATGTAAGACTGCAAATGTGATTCAATTGCCTCCTTTAATCATGGATAGAATATTTTCCAGGTAATGCCATTTCAGGAATCTATTGATCATAATTAGAAAAGGGTAATGAATGACTGCTTATGCTAAGATTGGATAAAATATTTCTCAAAGCTATTAACATTTGAAAGGAAAAGAATGTAGATAAGAACAGGACAAACAAAACCCTATTATTTACCATTTAAGATTTGGGGTTTATCTTTGTAAGAGAGTTAAAAGTGAAATTTTAGCATACCATCAATCAGTGAACACATCAGAAGATAAAAGTGGATTTACTAATCATCTTAACAAAATGCCATGGTGTACATACAATAGACTCTATTTCTGTTAACAAATTAATGTCTTTCTTCCAGTCAGTTAATCAATAAAAATACAAATGTATTTAAAAGCTGGCATTTTACGCAGCTTCTCATTACACATTGCACGATTTTATTGAAATCCACAAATAGAATATAAGAAACACAGTTTTGGGAGTTTTGAAATGGCAACATATTTCTGGAAACTCTTAGTTGCTTCTTAATGTCCTGTGGTCATTGACTAGAGCTCAATGAAATCAAGCACCTACCTCTCTCTTAGAAAAAAAAAGAAAACAAAAAGACCCCTGTATGGAGTAGGCAGTGAAATGGTAATTTTCTAAGAAAACAATTCAGAATAAGGAAAAATATTAAGCTTTTAGGTGTTTGAACTTAGAGGCAAAAAAAAAAGGAAACTATTTTAATGTACTTTTATGTATCTTAGACATGTATTTTGGAAAATCCCCCTTTACAAGCAACAAAGAAATTAATCAATTTTTTTTTTTACTTAGAATATAAACATATAATTAATTTCATAATTTCTTCTTCCCTTACTGTGTACTAATTCTGCACCATTATTCCTATCATATATTGTCAGGTGTCTTGTTAAAAATTGTGTTGAGAAATAGGAAGTTGAAATGCTTTTACTACATCTAAAGGAAAAATAATTCATTTTCCAAATTAAATACCCTATGAAAGCTTGCAGGTAATTACATATAAATAATCATCAATCATATTCTCTTTTTGCAATGTTGAATGTTATCCATGGCTGGCTGCCAGGTGCCCATTGAGATGTTCCTCCATAGGACAGAGAGAGAAAATACGATTAAAGAACTTTAGAATCCAGCTAAGAACATGGTGATTTCTTACAAGTTAGTTTCATGGGCAAAAGAGATTTGACTTGGGGAGTTCAGATTATTGCTAATTATTAACAGCATAAGAGGATGGGAAATAAAAAACTAAACCAAAAGCACTTTCCCTTTCCTCTTCTTCCCAGGTTAAGCTTCAGTCTTTCACTCCCAGCTTCTATCCGTCTTTTCCTCAAGTGTCACAGGAGGGTGGAGAATGGGGTGTGTATAACACATAGCCCATAACAGCTCCTCCCTGCCACTCCTTCCTTCTCATACTGTTCCCCTGCTGCAACACACAGTCCTTCACGACCAGTGAGACTCCTTTCCACGGGACACAGTCCTTCAGGAACAGACTGTTCCAGCATGAATTCTGAGCTGCAGCTCCTGCATGGTTTCTCCACGTGTCACACCTTCCTCCTGACACCCACCTGCTTCACTATGGGGTCCTTCATGGACTGCATGTAGACCTCAGCTCCACCATGGAGCTCCATGGGCTGCAGGAGGACAGCCTGCCTCACCACACTTCTCTTCAAGGGGCTAAAGGGGAACTTCTCTTCTAGTGCTCAGTGCACCTTCTCCTTTCCTTCCTCTGTGACATTGATGTCTCCAGAGCTGTTTATTTCACTTTTTCTCATTCTTCTTTGTCACAGCTTCTGAGCAGCATTTTTACCCATCCTTAAGTATATCAGTGAGGAGCTAGCAGCTGGTGGGCACAGTTTTGACAATGGCAGGATCTCTTAGGAGCTGTCTGCAGCCAGCTTTGTCTGACATGGGATCAGTTTCTGTTATCTTCTCACGGAGGCCAGCTCTATAGCCCCTTCCCTGTTACCAAAACATTGCCACAAAGCCCCAACAGAAGAGTCTTTATTCTAATAGTAAAACACTTCCTTCTGAAGTAACAAGAACAATGTAAAGAGAATATCTTAGAGTAAATTTATGCCTTTGTCTTATTTAAACAGATTTAATCTATCATTATTCTGTTGTTGTGATCTCTTATAAACAAGTGTAACAGGATACATGATTATTCAATACAAACCTGGCTATGCAGAAGTATAGTGAACTGTTCCAAAAAGTTAGAGTTTGATATTCTTCTCTTTGTTAATGAGTTGTTTCCAATACTGCCATTCATTACACTAAATAGCAATGTAAAAGAAAGAGTACAAGAATGACACAATTTGATTAATAACCATTAGAAATTTTACCTTGTTTATTGTTAGCAAAGTAAAATATTTTTAAAAAAAACATCCCTTGTGTTTCTGTTCTGTTAATAAAAATACAACCACTCATAGAATCATTCATAGAATCATAGAGCAGTTTGGGTTGGAAGGCACCTTAAAAATCACCTGGTTACAACCCCCTGACATTGCCTGCCATTCTTTACACTAGACCAGGGTGCTCAAAACCCCATCCAACCTGGCCTTGAACATTTCCAGAGATGGGGCATCCAAAACTCCTCTGGACAACCAGTACCTTGCCAACAAGAAACTTCTTTTTAATATCCAGTCTAAGTCTAATTTCAGTCTTAAGCCCATTACCCCTGTTCTATCATCACGTGCCTTTGCAAACCATCCTTCTTCAGATTTCATCTAGGCTCCCCTCATGTCCTGAAAGGCCACAATAAGGTCACACCAGAGCCTCTTCTCCAGACCAAAGAATCCCAGTTCTAGCCATCTTTGTGAGTTTTGAGTTACCATATATAGGTGTATGGAAAGGTTGCATCATAGAATCACAGAATTACAGAATATGTGCGAAGAAGCACCTGCTTATACACATATCCCTGGTCAAAAAAGGAACACCACAAGTTATGGGACAGATGGCATCCCTGACCACCAATAACCACTGAATGTCCTGCAAATATTCTTTTGTGCATACCTGGAACTGTAGATAAGTTAAAGGGGTACTATTGTCCAGATGTTGCCTCAGACCTAGGGATAGTTTAACATAGCTGGAGGAGAGTGTATCACTGAAAATGAACACAAAGAATGTGGAATTTATGGGTCACAAGTAAAGCCAGATCATCAGCTGTGCTGAAGTCAGGTTTGACTGGCCACAATCTAATTCTGGCAGGGGCAGACTGCGACCCAGACCAATGACCCAAGAAACCACTGACTCAAAAGATGAGAAAGACTGAGCAGGTGGAGTTATTTGCATTAGAGAATGGTGTAACCAATGAACATCAATTCCTTTGTTTGTTAAAATGTATAAAGAATGAAAAGTTTTGAATGACCTCAGGACCCTCACCACCAAGAAGCCCAGGGTGAAGAAGGAGCAACAGCATATCACCAAATCCACAGTGGTGACTGTCTTCTGCTTGATCTCCCTCTTTGCTCTCTTTTCTATTTCTTTCAATCTCTCTACATCACATTCACTGTTAAATAAAATCCATATTATTGACTTTGGCATATGGTCTCCTTTGCACCTCAATTCAGGCAAAGGCATCTCAGTAGTCAAATCTTAGCTGTGTTTTTAATAGACATGCTTTTTTTGCACATTCTGGGTTAAATTTAAACAAAATGTTCAGATGTTTTGGAAAATGAAGGAGTGTTTTTGGAATATAACCAGGACTTCGATGAGAATGAGGACTAGACATACAACTTGTCAGATTCAAGATAGCTTGGAGCTAAAAATCACCATGTTCTTCAATGATAATGGAGTAAACATTACACTTTTATTAATTCAACTCATTAAAATTCTCACAGTTTGCATCAATCTGCATTCCAGCCTACATGAGAGGGAAAAGAGAAAATATTATCTATGTGTTTGATGAGAGTCTTTTAATGGATTCAGGGAAAGAGGCAACCTTATAAGCTGGATGGATATTGGAAGTCTATTTAAGATTTGGTTTAAAATATCTTTCATTAAGAAATATAAACAGAAACTATAAATGTGACTGCTCTGTAATTATTTATCTATGAAAATACTACTCATAGAACTGAAAATATATTCTTAAACAGACTTAATTTTCATAGTCTTTTTAAATAGAATATCACCCAACATTTTTCAGGGAAAAAAACACAAAGATTCTTGGGTACAACACTGGCACAAAAGTAATAATAAAGATATATTTTATTTATGAATTTTCTTTCTGTTCTTTCATTTGTTCACATTTTTTTCATATATACAGAAGCATCACATTTCAGCTCTGCCAACCCTGTCAGCAAGATGTAGCTTAATCCTTCAAAGCTTGGCATTGTAGTTTTCCTTTGTGTCCACACAGGTAATGGAAAAGACAGATTCAGTTTTCCATGTATTTTTTTCTTAGAAGCTTGAAAACTTTCTGTCTCTTTAT